TGGAGGCGATCAAAAAATAACCGCCTCCTAAAATCAATTTACGGAGGGGGGCACCTTAAGGCAACCGCCTCCCAAAAACCTCTATTTTCAGAGGCGGTCGTCTTAAAGTGCCCACCTCCGCTAATCCATTTTCGGAGGCGAACACACTATAAGGCTCACCTTCTAAAATCATGGCCCAGTGCCAAGCCTAGCAAAGCCCATATTACCGAGCTCATATATAAGTGCGCCTTAGGGTTTCTCACATTTCATTCCAACACTCCCTGCCCTCTCCCTCCCTGACACGCACAGTGCATCCCTTCTCTCCCCAAGCGAGTTGCTCTCCTCTCCCGAGAGCGTGGTGCCCTACCCCCCTCCCTCTCCCGGCGACCTCCCTCCCCTCCCTCTCCCGGCGTGGCGGTGTTGACGGTAGTTATCCTTCATTATAAACTTCAATATAACTTGAAATAATGCATGAAAATGATCATCAACATAGACTTAGGGGTTTAAACTAAAAATTTTCACCAGTTTTGGTGAATCTGTGTTTTCAACAGGGTTATTTCATAAAACCGTCAAGGGGGATCAAAACATCAAATTAAATCACGCTTATCTGTGGCGACAACTACTCTAGAAGATTCCAGAGGACTCGGAAAGACACCACACCGAAGCGGAGGCCGAGGCGTTGACATGTGGGGCTGACTGGCCCCACCTGTATGCCCCTCCTTCGAATATCGGTTCTCCACCGCCTCCTTCGAATATCTGTTCTCCACCGCCTCCTAGGTTCCATCTACGTCGTCCTTTAAGTAAGTTTGATCCAAGGGCTCGCGTTGGACGCTCCAGCCTATATAACTAGCCCCTGTCCCCTCTCCAGAGCACGCTGCCATAAGTCAAGATCAGACCAGAAATTAGGGTTTCCAGAGAGAAGAGAATAGAGCTCCAATTCTTCAAGTTTCTAGTATAGGCTAGCTAGCAAGGTTCAAGTAGAGTGTGGGCTATTGCTCAGGATTTCGGATCTGTCGTCTAGAGACTGGTATAGCCATTGTATCTCTATATTTATGACTTTGTGCTACTTCAATATTATGTTGATATTTATTATGTTCCTAGTTTGCTCTAGTTATATGCTTGATATAGTTATGATTAATGATGAATTTATGCATATGTTCGTAAAGCTCTTAGCTCGGTACTCGAGTGAGTTAAGTGGTCGATATTATGTAAGCATGGTGCTTAGATATTGTTTACATGTGGATGCATTCTGCACTCTGGGTCATGTGGTAGATCGCGGATGTGACACTCCCATTGAGTCCTTTATAGTCCACTTCCTATTTGTAGAGCAAGTAGAACACGGTTGCAAAGGGTGACAAGCTCTGTTCTTGATCTTCCTTAGTAATGTTCCTTATGTATAGATCCAAAGTTAGTTATACTATAGATGAGAGTGTATATACTTGGGTTTACAAAAGACTTAGTAAATAAAGAATGACTTAGGAATCTTTTGCTCTTAACGAATCTCCTGCTTAGCCGTACTACATTTTATGAATCTCTATTTCTATCTCTGGAATACCATTATTACTTTACACTTATTATTTATGTCCGCCGCGCTGTCACTAGGGCGCGGGTCCGCCGCGTGGCCACCGGGGCTCGCCGTGTGGGTGCGTGGACGGGTAGCCACGGCGTGGGTCAGCGAGCGCTGCAGCCGCCGAGGTGAACGTGCGCCGCTGCGACTGCCGGGGCAGTGAGCGCCGCCGCGGCCGCTAGGAGGAGGGCCGCTGGGACGCGGTGGTTGCCGGGCCAGGGCGCGTAGTCGTGGCCACCAGACCCGAAGAGTAAGGTGCGCGCAGTCGCGGCCACCAGACCCAAAGAGGAAGGTGCGCGGTCGCCAGAGCTCGCTTTATGCGATGTCACTGAGGCTCGCCGGGGCACGCGCGGACGCCAGAGTTCGCGAGGCACGGCGCCGCCGGAGTTTGAGGGAGTGGGGGGCGGGGGCGGCACCGCCGCCGAGCAGAGGCGTAGGCGCCACCGCGTCAGGTGCGGGCACCGCAGCAACAGTCGCAAGGGGCACGGCCGCCGGGAGGACACCGACGGGGGGCTCCAGATGCGAGAGTACAGTGCCGCCGTTTGGGGCGTGAGCCGCCGGGGGCGATCAAGAGTACTATGCGGCGCCATCACCGTTCAGTCGATGCGGAAGAAAAAGAGGACGAAGAACAGAGGGAAAGGGTGTTATGGTAATTTTGATTGTTTGTCTACGTGTGAAGCTATTTTCTTAAATATTTTTTTTTCAAAACAGCTCAGCTTTATAAAGTTGCTTATGAAGCTATTTTTGTTAAAAAAAACAACTTCAAAGATGAAGCTGAGCTGTGCCAAACAAGCCTTAATACTAAAAGAGTACAGTATATATATTTAAAACTTTATCGTTGAGAGATGAGCATGAGCGTGTGAACTCGTTGAGCGTGAGCATGCATGTGTGAACACGACTCGCGCGTGGTACATATAAAAACTTTATACATATATATACCGTGTTCCCTTAACCGAAAGTTCAGTAGTTGGTGCTAGCGATCGAATATTTTGTTCTTTTTTATTTGATCAACTAACAAAATGAAGTATATACTATATACAGGCCAGATAGATGTATAACAAGTCAATGAATTACGCGTGTGCCCATAATCCATGCATACCTAAAGATATACGCCCTGTTCGCTTGACTTATAAGCCGTACTTTTTTAGCCAATGAACAGTATTTTTCTCTCACAACAAATCAATAGCAAGATTTTCTTTCTTCGGTCATGACGTATCAGCCAAGCGAACAGGCATAGATATCGGAACGGAGGTTGGGACAATTGAGCTATCTAACTATAGAGGATTACTTTGGCCACAAGTACCATGCATGCATGCCACTTTATTAATTTCTCCATCCCTTGCTACCGTCTCCACGTAATTAGTATGATTTAATTATTTGAGTGCTTCACAAGGGCGCTCGAACAAATTCCATGCATGCTACTTCCTCCGTCGTCCTTAGATATATTAACTTCTAGACTAGAGTTGACTAAAGTAAAAAATAAATAAAGTTTGTCTGAATCTATAGAAAAGAGCACGCTAATATTTATGCATGAGAATATATTTTATGGTGTATCCAGTGAAGATGAATTGTTTCATAAACATATGTGCTCTTTTTTCTTATAAATTTGATCAATGGAGGATAGTGAGGCTAGGTGGCCTGTGATCATGGCAGTGGAAGAGAGAGTTGATGCATTGATATATGTTTCATGCTTGTGACGAAATTAGTGTTATTATGAACTATGTAATATGGTGAACAATGTCATTTAAATTCATTTAAATTTGAATTCATGTATTTGAATATTGACTATTTGTGTAAACTTGTAAATAACATTATTGTTTCAACATGTTCGATCAAATAGGTAGAAGTAGAATACATAGAGAAACCGAGAAAAGAGAGAGAATAGAAAGTAGGGGCCTAATTTGAAGCTCTTGCTGAATTTCCGTCTAAAAAACAACGCCTTAAAAATATAGGAATCCCTCAAATAAAAAACAGAATATTTATTGATCAATGTGTGGCTCCTCAGAGAGTCTTCCTCTTCACTATCGGTCTAGTTAATCTCTCTCTTTTTAGAAAAAAAAAGGGTTATCTCAATTGTGACTCTCGTTAGGCGCTTATCGATGTGGTAGTAAAGTGATGATGCTGAATGGAGATTGATTTTTTATAACAAGTGGAGATTAAAGTCGAGTACATACTGCAAGAGGCGGCCAGCTAGCTAACGAATATTTACACTAGTTTTGTACCTCATTTTATTTTGATTTCTTCTTCATTGCTGCTGGTTGGCAATTCATATGAAATTAATTGTTCCTCCAAAAACTCCGAGCTAAAAATCTTATATAAAATAATAGCTAAAGGCAATTTAGACCATGTGGATGCCTAAGGCAACTTCCAAATGGACAGTAGTATTGTACACGTTAATTAGGTGTCACATATGATTTTTTTAGTTGACATTGCAAAGAATTAATAAATACAAGAGAAAATGAAAATTTGTCTTGCACAAGGTACATCTCTGGCATCAAATCCAATACTTGTGTACAAAACACAATGTTGTTCCACTGTCATATATAGGTCGACACCATACCATCACAAATCTTTTTATGGGAACTCCCAAGAAATTAATAAATAAAAGGACAATATGTACTAGAGAGGTTGTGTCTACGCATGTGATCGACAACAAAATAAAATGACAAAATCCCACGCCGACGTTACATTAGTAAAAAATTATTTGAGGCCCTTGGCATGCAACAGCTCGCTTAATTAATCTTAGCACAAGTAATAATTATTAATGTCTCTTTCACGCGTCTAGTCAAGTCAAGTCGTCGACCACGCACAAAACGTTTGCCGATGCCTTTTCTTTTTATTTTCCCCATTGTCTTTTGCTAGCTCCAGAGAGTATAGCGATCGCTGTAGTAAGGGTCTATATAACGGCCTCTCTCGTCATGTGCTGCTTCCCTAGCTAAGCTAAGCACGCAATTACATATTAACTGCAAAGTCGTCTATCAAGCTACTGTATATATATATGGCACAGAATGGTTGCCATGCTGCGACCACAAATCAGGTATGTATACGCATCATGACATGTAAATTAAACCTTTGCCTTTGTATGTGTTGGTTGTACGTTGTCTTTGCACACTTTGACAAAATTTTGGCAATAGCAATTTATGTCCCCTCCTTCTCAAAATGGAGGATGAACTTACTTTTTTTTTTTTTTTTTTTGCTTCATATCAACCCCGGCTCCGAAAGAGACTGACCAGTAGGGTCCTGAATTGTCGTCCAAGTGGGACCATGTAGCCGGCGCACATGATACACCTGGCGCGCACGGCTGTTGTCCATTAAAGACGGCGACTCTGCCTCCGCGGCTTTGACTGCCGCCGCCACCGCTGCTTTCGCTCCTCCTCCGCCTCCCCGCTCGCTCTTCTGCCTTCTCGCGGGCCGCGGATCCCTTCACTCGCCACGGCGAGCGCTAGAAGAGGGAATGGAGCTCCGCCTCGCCTACCGCGGCGCCCGTTCGGCCGCTCCGCCGCTTTCCGGCTGCTTGTCGCGGCACTCGCTCTCGCCGTGGCTCAAGGTTCCTGGCTCCCTGTTCATGACGTTCCTTTTTTCGGATGCATGATGCGTGCGTTTGGTTTCGCCCTTGGGGTGTGGTGGATTAGGAATGGGGGTAGGTAGCCAGGCTAGTGAGTAGAATCTGCAATATTGGGTTCACATCTTCAGATAATTGGAGAGTATGGGGCTTCTAGTCGTGCGTAAAGGTGTCGAGAGAGAGAGAGAGAGAGAGAGTTTTCCTTCTGTAGCTTCAAAACAGGAAGGTTTTGGACCTTTGGTCTTTTTTATAATTCTATTTATTGTTGCTCACATATTGCTCTTACAGTATGCCACCATTGAAACAGATTGGGTAGCTGAATGAACACGGTCCATGGTATTACATATATATACAACTGCGATGTCATTAGATATATAGTTTGTTTCTCGTATTTTTGCCACTTTGTTTGTGCCTGATTGACTGTTGACAGCGCAAAGCAGGCGCACAAAGTCACCTACCTGGAAGGCACTTTGGCTACTCCTTTTCTTTTTAATAATAGGGAAAAAAAAGAGAGGTTAAAGTATATTGCTTGACCTACTGAAAATTTTTGCAGAGACTCCCTTGCCGTTGTCCTCCTGGATAACCCCATCATACCTCCCACTCCCTGGCCTGACCACCTGAGAAGTCTAATCAATCCCAGATCACTTCAAATGGACTCACCTAGCTTGCTTTTGTGTTTTCCTCGTAAAGATGCTAAAGAATCTAGATAACTTTAACTACTCCCACCGTTACTACTTTCACCAGCCTCGTGATCTAATAAAAGAATTGCTTCATCTTTTTCTTGTTCTGCAGATCCAGAACCACATTTATTCGATGCCAAGTCGCTGTTACAAGGTTCCTAGCACGGCAAAATGCCATGCTTCTGTGGCAACAAGTTACATGTATGTAATTCTGAAACCAAAGCAGTATCCTTACTTATGTGCATTTCATCATTTTGGTACGTATGGTTGTGGATCAGCTAAATCCATACCCAGCAATACCCTCATCACTTTAAGCTATGTTCTGATGGTTTAACTCTTAGCAGGGAAACATCAGAGGTCACTGGTTTGGACTGGGATAACCTTGGCTTTGGCCTCATCGAGACTGACTTTATGTATGTTGCGAAATGTGGACCTGATGGAATCTTTTCCAAAGGTGAAGTCCTACCTTTTGGTCCTATAGCACTGAGTCCTTCTGCTGGAGTCTTAAACTATGGACAGGTTAGTAGGGAATCTTCCCACCCTGTTTCATATCTATATCTCTACTGGATTGGAACAACTGTAACCTGGCAATTAGGTATCTTTGAAGGCCTACTAGTATTGAGTATGCTTATTCTATGTTATTCTGGTACGCAGGGATTGTTTGAAGGCCTAAAAGCATATAGGAAAACTGATGGGTCCATCCTTCTATTTCGTCCAGAGGAGAATGCTATAAGGATGATAAGTGGTGCAGAGAGGATGTGTATGCCTGCTCCAACTGTTGAGCAATTCGTTGATGCTGTTAAACAAACTGTTTTGGCAAATAAAAGATGGGTTAGTAATAGTAATTCGTGTTTTCATAGGTGATAGTATTAGGCTACATATTCAATAATACTTTATTTAGTGAACCATTATCCCCTTGCTAACATATCTTTTTTTTCCCCTTGAAATGAAACATATCATGTTTCTAGGTGCCTCCTACTGGTAAAGGTTCCCTGTATATCAGGCCACTCCTAATAGGAAGCGGGGCTGTTCTTGGTCTTGCACCTGCTCCTGAGTATAGCTTTATCATTTTTGTATCCCCTGTTGGGAATTATTTCAAGGTCCGTATTGAGTTTCCTTTTACTTTAAATTCCACCAAAATCTGTAGGCACTAGGCACTCATCCAAAATGTAAACTGGACCTAGAGCAAATCGTTACAACCTGTGTTCTTTCCTGCTCAGTGGACAGTGATATAGGATAGCTTAGTGATGATAGTGTAGAATATGAACTCTTCCTTTTGTCACGCATCTAAAATAGTTTGTTTCAACAATGCCAGTATATATGTTGATTGCCTTTGTTCATTTTATTCTACAGGAAGGTTTATCTCCTATTAATTTGATCGTTGAGGAGAAATTTCACCGTGCCAGCCCTGGTGGAACTGGAGGCGTGAAAACCATTGGAAACTATGCCTCGGTAACTTTATGAATTAGCAATTATGAAATTTCTATAAAAGCCCCAGTTTGGTTACTTAATTACATACATTGTCATCACTGTATAGGTACTGAAAGCACAAAAGGTTGCAAAGGGGAAAGGATATTCTGATGTCCTTTACTTGGATGCTGTTCATGACAAATATCTTGAAGAAGTCTCTTCCTGCAATATTTTTGTTGTGAAAGTATGATCCTTCGCTTTTATGTCTTTGCTATTTTGGCAGTATATCTCCTTCATAGCTGCAGTTAAGAGTAGACTTTAGTGCTCAAGGCATGTAGTAGTGATAACCACACCATTTTATCAGCATTCTAGTTATCCACGACTTTTTCTTTAACCTATGCAACATCCTTTGGTTGATTAACATACTATTTTATGGGACAATGCCATGATGGGCTTATTTTCTTGTCTTTTTGCGCCAGGACAATGTTATTTCTACTCCTGCCATTAAAGGAACAATACTGCCTGGTATAACAAGGAAAAGTATCATTGAAGTTGCTCAGAGCAAAGGCTTCAAGGTAATTTACTTGTCAATCTCATGGATTTAAAGAAATGGGGGAAGAAATGACTGCTGTATCAGTGCATTTTAGCTGCAAGTTAATTGGCCATACATATAGTTTTAAGTTTTAACACACTAAATACTTTTTGCCTGTAACTTGTTAGCATAGGTAGAAGGATATGTGAAATCATTTTAGCTGCAAGTTAAGTGGCCATACATTACAGTTTTAACACATTAAATACTTTGGGCCTGTAACTTGTTAGCAGAGGTAGAAGGATATGTGAACTAGGCTCAACTCATCATATGCTGCCTCCAATATAATGCAGTCTTAACTAATGCATTGGCTTCTTGTAAGGTTGAGGAGCGCCTGGTGTCAGTAGATGAGTTGCTTAACGCTGATGAAGTTTTCTGCACGGGGACTGCTGTTGTGGTGTCACCTGTGGGGAGCGTTACATATATGGGGAAAAGGTGACACTTTCTCTCTTGCCTTGCAAGTTTATTTTCTATTGAGTATGCATGTGTGATAAACTAGACATTTGTTTTTTTGTGAAAACACTTTTTTTCTCTCGGATAGGACATTTCCTTTTCTTGCAATAGCAACAAGAGTTTAATACTGAAATAAAGCATGATGAACAAATCGATTTTGGAAATACTCAAATATTTATTGCACTAGTTATGATCTTTTACAGTACTGTTGTGATTACTTCATGGTTTCTGAGTTGCCTAGGCGTTGAGGCATACCCCAGGTGCCACAGGACGCCACAAGGTTTTAGTTACGTCATATCACCTAGGCATCCAAGCATACCCCAGCGCCACAGTGCCTCAAAAACCATGGATTACTTTTGTGTAATCATTTCTTCTGTATGCTGGCCCTTTCTCTCTCTTTTTTCTTGGAAATGCTGGTATATGGATGTTGGTACCTTGATTTTACCTGCCATGACATCTTCATGATATAAGGGTGTGTTTGGTTTGAGGAACCACCCCATACTAGATGTGGTGGTGCATCATGAGTTCATCACATGAATTTTGGTGGAATCAACATATTCCTCATACATATACTAATTGTTAGCTTGCGAGTAATGAGGTGGTGATGGATCAACCCATTCCATTCCACGAACCAAAAAACGAAAAAAGTCAGGAATGAGAAGATGATGGTGACCACCTCATTCCTCAAACCAAACACCCCATAAGTTCCTTTCTTGCGATCCTTGAACGTAGCATTGTATGCTATGCCCCAGCCATTTGGACCGAGGTCTTTTCTGCTGTTTTTATCAAAAGCAAAAGGTAATTTGACATGGAATCCAGTATAAGTGTGTGGGTGGTAACGTTCACTGAGGCTGATGACTGTTGCCTTATGTAACAGCGACAAGTTTCACCACTGCAAGCGAAGTTTCTTTTCGTGAGCGTGCCTCAGCATGTATTCCGTTAAGAGGACAAACTGCTAATGAAGTTACAGAACCACAATCATACTTGTTGCATTCTCGATTTGTAGAAAGTGGAAACTGACAGAGTAATGTGCAGCTATGTTGGAATCTGACATCCTATGGCATTGGTTTGCAGGGTGGAATATGGCAACCAAGGAGTCGGTGTCGTGTCTCAGCAACTATACAAGTCACTTACAAGCCTCCAGATGGGCAATGTGGAGGACTGGATGGGTTGGACCGTGCAACTTAATCAGTAGCAGGTTGTCCACAGATATTTCCTTGGCAGATCCCCAGATCATTACAGTTAATGGGTGCGATAGTTTGTTTACTTGTTGTTTTTGCAGATCCCTCTTGAGTTGGGTTCCTGAGGTAGACTACAGACCTCACGCATATGTACTGTGTCAGTATCTGTTTCCCTTGCGACCACAGCATATAGTTGAGCAGTAAGATGAACGTGCTGCTGCTTACTAGCCCCGAGCTCCTGACCACAAGAACACTGAACACTCTTGATGTTATTTTGCTGATCTGTTGTTTCAAAGCAATAAAATAAAATATGTGGTTTGCACCTTGCCATGTAAGAATAGACCCAAATTCTTTCATGCTGCTGTTGCTTGATATCTGAAACTGTTTATCTGCTGCAGCAGCAATGTCTCTGCTTTGTACGTAGTGCAGAGCACTGGCAGAGCCGTTGCTCAGCTCGGCGCGTGGCACCAAGTTTTTGCCTTGTAGTTTGTATAGGTCCAAATTTTATCGGTATGTTGATGTTCTACCATATGCCGAAGTATACAATCTGAACATATTATGACGTGGTTTGATTCCTTTCCTCGTTTTGCTTCTGTATAGGTTCGTTCAGTTCAGCTGTTCAGGAGACAAATTCAGATGATGTGCCATGCATTTTTTTCCCCAAAAAACGTTTTCGGCCCAGGTGTCAGTGGTACTGGCACCCAGCGAAGAGAAGTAGTGCTTGTACTCGTACAGCACGTCAAGTGGGCCCGGTCGCCGAACAGAATTGCCTTGTACACGGGGCAGGCAGGGTGGGCGATACCGATACGGCCTACGTATATAACTGTTGTTGGCCAGCCAGGCAGAGCAGAGAATTCAAATTCGCAGCGCCTCCCATTCCATTACCCTGCTCCTGCTCGGCTGCTCTTCTCTCACCGGCAATCACCACGGCCGCCACCTCCTCCTCGCTCGAGCCCGCTCCGGGGAGCAGGCCATGAAGCTCAAGATCAACAAGGCGTGCGACCTCGGCTCCATCTCCGTCCTCCCTCCCCGGTGAAATCCCCGCTCTCCCCGCTCTACAATTCCGTCCCCTTTCGCCACGGCTGCTCCCGTTGTTTTGACACATGCGATCGCTTCGTCCTGTGTTTCTGATGCTTTCAGTAGGACCGGAGGGAGCGGCGGCGCAGGTGGGGCGGGTTCCTCCGCTGCGGCCGTGGCGGCGGGGTCGCAGCAGCGGTCGCAGCCGATGTCGCAGCAGTCCTTCTCGCAGGGCGTTGTGGGGAGCGGCGGCGCGTCGTCGCTCCTGCACTCGCAGTCGCAGCTCTCGCAGGCCTCCCTCGACGAGAACCTCCTCAGCCTCCACCTCGCCTCGCCCGCGCGCGATCAGGTCCCGTCTGCACTCATTCCTCCCTCTCGTCGCTGTTCATGTGTGCTGATCGGGGATGTGAGCCGTTGTGCTCTCATGTGCGATCAGCGGGATTAGCGATTTTGCTTCATCAGTGAGTTCGTGAAGGGCGATTAGTGGTTTGGGGGGATTATGTGATTATCGTGCTAGTTATAGCAGGTTGATCGTTCTGGATTAGTTGCTTCAGGTGATTTCAGTTGTGCTTCATCGATACGTGTAAGGAACACTTCAAATTGATGCGTTGCCACATTTAATCGCAGAAATTCATAAAAGCATGTTCTGCCAAAATTTTGTAGGATGCAAAACCACAGTGCACAGATATTCTCCAATTTCCAACAGTTTAGCTGTCTAATCAATTCCGATCAGTAGAAGTGTTTGCTCTGGTACGAGCACCATCTTGACATCTCTGATCTCTCTTATACAGCTTGTACTGAAGCTATTAGGGAGTAGATCCCATATTCCCACCATGACTGTGAGACTGTTTGAAATTGTGAATCTGTGTGAGTCTGTTTGAAATTATGCTTCCCTTATGAGAGTCCAGCAGTATGCAATTTAGTCACGTTATTGTCTGACCCTCTGAGAGGTCCTAATGGCTAGAGGAGGGGTGAATAGTCTATTAAAAATTCTACAACAACACTAAGGCAAGTGATTAGTAAATAAGATGGCGAAGCGAATTTGTGCTAGCACTACACTTGTGTTGCAAACCACCTACCCAATTCTAAAGTCTATGATCTCTAGTATATCACAACAAGGCTAAGTCACTAATTTACACCTAGGTGAGCAAGCTAACAAGAAAACTACAACTAACAGCTACACTAACTAGTTTCAATTACCACAATCTCTACACAAGTAAAGGCACAACGTAATACAAGAGAGTGGTAGAGAGGTATACCGCCGTGGCAAGAGATCAATCAATAAATACCAATAAGACAATCAAGACACAATGATTTTTCCTCCGAGGTTCACTTGCTTGCCGGCAAACTAGTCCCCGTTGTGGCAATTCACTTACTTGGAGGTTCACGCGCTAATTGGCATCACACGTCAAACCCGCAACTGGGTGCCGCGCAACCAACACAAGATGAGGATCACACAAACCACAAGCAATCCACTAGAGTACCTTTTGGCTCTCCGCCGGGGAAAGATGAAGAACCCCTCACAATCACCACGATTGGAGCCGGAGACAAACACCTTCCTCCGCTCAACGATCCTCGCTGCACCAAGCCGTCTAGGTGGCGGCAACCACCAAGAGTAACAAGCGAATCCCGCAGCGAAACACGAACACCAAGTGCCTCTAGATGCAATCACTCAAGCAATGTACTTGGATTCACTCCCAATCTCACAAAGATGATGAATCAATGATGGAGATGAGTGGGAGGGCTTTGACTAGGCTCACAAGGTTGCTATGTCAATGCAAATGGCCAAGAGAGTGAGCTAGAGTCGGTCAAACGCCTTATATAGGTGTTCCCTCGAAGTAGAGCCATTGGGCACCACTGCTCTGCCTCCACGGGGCGACCGGACGCACAGGTCGGGTTGACCGGACACAGGACCCCAGCGTCCGGTCCTCGGATCTGCGCCACGTGTTCCTTCCTTTGATTATACACCGCGCGATCTCAACAGTCAGATTCGCCCGCGCTAGCACTCAAGTGACGACCAGACGCACAGGAGACAGGACCGGACGCGCCGGTGCCAGCCCTGCTCGCGCGCGCGCCCGTGCCATCATCCAACGGCTGGACGCGCCGCTCCCCGCGATAACTCAGCGTCAGATCGTTTCCAATAAGCATCCAGAGGCGATTTTTCGCGACCGGACGCGTCCGCTTAGGTGTGACCGGACCCAGGCCAGAGTCCGGCCCTTCTCCTCTACGCTCCAACGCTTCGCGACTGACGTCAGCGTGCATCACCTTCTGACCGGACGCTGGCCCTGCGCGTCCGGTCACATTCACTGTTTAGCGTCCGATCAAAAGACCGAGGGTGGCCTTCACTGCGCGCCACTGACCGGACGCGGCTGCTGAGTCCGGTCGCTGCTAGAGCAGCGTCCGGTCACTTCGAGACAGCCCCTTCTCAACTCCAACTTTGCCACCCTTGATCATATGTGCTAACCACCAAGTGTATCACCTTGTGCACGTGTGTTAGCATATTTTCACAAACATTTTCAAGGGTGTTAGCACTCACTAGAATCTAAATACATATGCAATGAGTTAAGAACATCTAGTGGCACTTTGATAACCGCATTTCGATACGAGTTTCACCCCTCTTAATAGTACGACTATCGATCCTAAATGTGATCACACTGGCTAAGTGTCTCGATCACTAAGCCAAAAAGCTCCTATCAAGTTTCATCTTTGCCTTGAGCTTTTTGTTTTTCTCTTTCTTCTTTTCCAAGTCCAAACACTTGATCATCACCATGGTCACACCATCATCATGATCTTTACCATTGCTCCACCACTTGGAATAGTGCTACATATCTCATGATCACTTAGATAAACTAGGTTAGCACTTAGGGTTTCATCAATTCACCAAAACCAAACTAGAGCTTTCACCCTCAACAGTGACTTATGCTTTATTCTTGAAGGCATGATGAGTGCCCAATGTGACAATGCTCTTTGCTCTTTCTGCTCATGTTTCACTTAGAGCACCTGTGCTTCACTAGTTTTCAAAGATGTATAATTATGGTTTATTGCACAATTATGACCTCCATTTTCTTTTGCTTGGTGATCAGAGATTCGGGTTACATGACGACTCATCCAAGAAGATGCCATCGTTGCCTGTCAGCTCAGCTTCTTGTGTGCGAGAAGAATCTCAGCTGCAACTGGCAAAAACATCAAGCAACCCTGTCCATCGATGGAACCCTTCTCTTCCTGACGGTAGATGTAAATCCTCCAGATCCCTGTGCTGCATTTGGTAGAAAATTTTCAGTTTGTTCATACGAGGATAGTAGTATTTCAGAAAAACTGGCGCCGCAGATGATTGTGTTTTAATTAGATTCATTCTTCTTATCTCATTCACTGTGTATCCTGACTATTCATTGAGCTCCATAGTTTCATTGTAGCTCTATTTTGATTTGTGTGCCTAACAGGCAGTGTTTTAACAGGTGTGGTTCCTGCTGAGGATGTTGAGCGCAAATTTCAGCATATGGCAAGTTCGGTGCATAAGGTAGGGATGGTACTCGATTCAGTGCAAAACGACGTTATGCAGTTGAACAGAGCCATGAAGGAAGCTGCACTAGATTGTAAGTCCTATTGGTAACTGAGTTTGGTACTGCAGAAGTTTCTCTTTGCTTATGAGTTTTTGCACTATAATTATGTTCTCGCACGTCACTGAAAGCATGCATTTGTCATGTTTAGCTGGAAGCATACAGCAAAAGCTTGTTGTCCTAGACACTTCGCTGCAGAAAAATGTAAGCATAAATGATGCTTCTGTCCTTCATCCTCTTGCGTTCTGTTTTGACAGACAACGAAGTTTCACTAATTTATTTATGCTGTTGCAGCTTAAGGGACAAGATGATCTCAAAGCGCTTGTTGAGAGCAACACCAAAAGCATCTCTGATCAGCTGACTGTTCTGAACTCCCACTCCAACAAACTGGATGAGATATCCTCAACCCTTTCAATCTTGCCGAAACAAATAGAAACAGA